AATTTGCAACACAAGAAAACTTTTCCACAACTTGAGGGACTTAGCATTTATTTATTTAGAAAATACACACTACAGAATAAATTCCAATTACAGAGTTCATAATACAGAAACAAACACTAAAAGGTACACTAAACACTTTACACTTAAAAAAACACTAACATTTTACACTTAAAAAGCATTAAACACTTTACACTTAAAAACACTACACACTTTACACTTAAAAACACTACACACTTTACATTTTAAAAAAACACTAAACACTTTAAGGAATATTTTAGAATCAACCAGCTAGAAATTTAAAGAGAGATCTAGAATTCCCTGAATATATATAATATAATAAATAAGTAATAAATAACATTCTGAATTAAACTACAGCGGTCGGAATAAACTACCCGTCAATTAAACTACAGTGGCCGGGATTTGAACTGAGGACAAACAGATCTCCAGCCCAATGCTCGATCAGTTGAACCACGGAGACCGTTGGCTAGGTTTCTCAGGATTTTCAGCACTATTCTGACGTAGACTTACGTCTCTCCATAGTAGTTTAATGGCGTGTCGGGAAAGGAAAAAATTATGATGCTTTTCGCGCAGGAGTTAAACGCTTTTAGCTCCGCAACCAAATAACATAGAGAATTGATTTTAGTTTCATTTAACAGAGAAGGTTGGGTTGAAGATTGCAAAAAATTGTAGAATTTGGAATTACGGTTTAGTCACAGTCGAGCTGCAAAGTTGGTTAAAATCACTAAAAATGTTGATGACGTCACAGTGACCGATGAGCGCGCACGCAGACTAGGACAATTCAGTCATAGATCTGAGGTTCATGCGAAATATTACTCAAGAATTGTTACACGAATTTCGTGCTAAAGTTAAACTCTTATAGCTTCGAAAGAGAGTCACCACGTTTGGTTTCAGCACGACGAACCCCCTGCACATTTCAGCAGACAAGTTCAAACACATTTACAGGCTGCTTTTCCTGGACGCTGGATTGGCCGTGGTAGAATAATCGCATAGCCAACGCGATCACCATATTTGTCTCCCATAGACATTTTCAAATGGGTTTTTTTTAAAAAGGACTCATGTACGAAATACCTATCGTAGGAAAACGTAGTAGGAAGAATCATAGATTTGATTTGATTTGAATTGTTGTTTGATAGGATTTATAGCAACACAGGCTGTTATTCCCTAAATACCGTGAGGTTAAGAAATATCAATGTACTTGAGAGACTGAATAAAGGAAATCAAATTATTTTTGCCAACAAGTGATTTGGCAATAAACATTTGAACAAGATAATAGCTTCGGTAATACTCAATTTTTTCCAAAGTTGAACCCTGTGGGTTGAATATTTCTTGCATTTAAGCAGTAAATGTAAAATGTCATTTACTTCATTACAACTGCTGCACAAAGCATTGGAGGTCAGCTTGAATTTATACAGGAGACCTGGAGTCATAATAATTTTACTTATTATACGGGCAACGATTCTATCTTGTCTTCTATTCTGAGTCCATTTTGCGATGGTGATAATATCTATCCTATTGATTCGTAATTTTCCTCGGTGATTTGGATAGATTGCTTTTTCATGCTGGAAAAAATATCTTCTGGAGAGATCCAATCAATAAATGACATGTGTTCCGTGACATTCCTTACCAGATAGTCTGGGAAGAATCGTTGAGGCAGCAGGATGTGTTCGAGATACACCTGATATTTGTGAGAAGGGGCGGATTTCCATGCAACGTTGATGTAATGCGTGTGTACCTTCGTCTGCAAAAAAATGTTAGCATCTACTATTAGTAGAGGAACTGGTGTAAAAACGGGCACTGGTGTAAATATGGGCACCCCTCCCAAAGTGGCTATGGGAGGTGCTAAAGACTGGCCTCCAGGACTGTAGATGGCAATACTTGTTGGTATAAGATAGCAGAGAACAGTTGGAACCATTCTTTTAAGTAGTGTGGACGCAGCGTGAGTTATTGAGCGAATTGGTGTTGTTCTGGACTGCAAACTTTTGACTGGTATGTGAAATCGTTTTCTTTTCATGTTCTTATGGTTAGTTTAAAATAATTTTACAGTGATATCCGGAAAGCAGAGATCCTAAGCTACTTTTAGAAGCACTCCTTTAGTCACACACGCGTTTTGGTTACATGTGATAGCGGCCATCTTTCTTAGGTTTGGTTGGTGTAAATATGGGCACCCTTTCAATGCCAATTGATGAGGCTGCTGAAACACCGAAATGTTCCCCGGGAACTTCAAATACAGTTTTTCCGTTCGACATATCTCCTGTCCCCAACCTTAAGAAGAGAACCACTACTCGTGGACGCAAAGCAACAAGGTCCAGCCTCATCACTGGATCACCATACAAGGATCAGTTGACCAAGTCTCTTGAGAAAAGTGCTCCCAAGAAGACGTCCTTGAGTGCTCCCGGGGTAGGAAACCGGCCAGGGAGCAGGGGTGGGAAGACCACGGGCCTTCAAAAAAAAGAAAATTCGACCCACGAAACGATACGATTCATCATCGGACTCATCAGACTACTACGATCCTCCCCTTGTGGACAGCGATGATGATATCAACCTGGATATCAGCGATGGGGATAAACCAGACTCGAGGAAGGCAACTTGCATCTTTTGTGATGGAAAGTTCTCTGAAGACACTCGCGGGGAAGTGTGGGTTAAATGTGTTATGTGCCAAATGTTGGCACACTTAGATTGTGCCGGGGCTGAAACAGCCAGTTATGTTTGCGATTTCTGTAAATAATTTTTTTTCTGTAATAAATAAATTCTCTACTATTTTGTATTGTTTATTCTGTTTTAAAACATTTTAAACTAATTTTTGCGACTCTTTTGGAGAGGGCCCATATTTGCACCCCATTTTTTCTGGTGCTTTTTTAAAAGCTTTTTGTAAATCTTCGTTTTCGAATTGAAATAATTGGTATTAATCATTGTTTTGCCTCCTATCATTTAGTAAACTTGTAATAGTTGTCAATGAAGGTCAAAAATTCAGAATTTTTCAAAATGAAAGTGATTTTAAGTCGAAAACAAAAGAGGGGGCCCATATTTACAGCTTTTCCTCTAATATTATTCTTAAATAAAATATCATCGATGGATTCCTCTTCGTCGTCCTTGTATTACGTATTATTTTAAATACCATCTACTGACTCCAGATGGCAGTCCAGAAATACAGTAAAACCCTGGTTAACCGAACTCGGGTTAACCGAAACCCGGGTTATCCGAATGCCTCTGAAATCGCGAATCCAAAAAACACGTACTGTACTGCACGGAAATGTTCGTTAAGGCGAGAGTTTTTGCAACGATATCCCCACTTTTTTCTTTTAAAACTCCCCAAGATAATCATTGCTCCAAATTTTCACTCCCTTGCTTTACATGTGAATTTTGTAACTAACATTCTTAAATTGTCATATAAAATAAAAATGTCTGCTGCCTTTCCATTAAAAATCTAGTCTTCCTAATTGCTCATAAAGTTAACATGTGTACCCGCCCTTACCCCAATAGTGAGGTAAAACCGAGTGGTTTGACTTTTTTTTTATAAAAATATTATTGGTGACAAATATAGTGAAAGTATAACTTTTCTGGAAAGATATATTGTGCTCCGTTAAACAATGAATATTTTCATAAGATTTGACAAGATCTGTGTCGAATTGTTTGGCTTCAACAGGCCTTTTTAGTAACTTAACAACTAGCTAAAGGCAACTTGTACTGTGACTAAATTAATGCGTCGGACATCATTGATAAGGAGCATATCTAAAAAATATTTATCAAACTCTAAAAACGAGGTCAATGGCTTCAAGACGTTGAGGATTTATCAAACGACGATTCCGATGCTAACGAATCTAATTATTTTATGAAGACAATTTATAATATGAAGTCTGTGGAAAGTAAAAAAGCAAGGAAGTTTTGGTGATTCGCAAATAAACAAAATTCCTCTGAACAACAAATTCTTAAAGACTCTTCGTAAAAGTATTTTTTAAAAAACTCTCATCGTTTTCCAAAAACTGTGATTATGTGTACGATGAATTATTCTAACAAATAAATATCTAATAGACTTCTTGAAGATTGTCAACATATAAATATGATTGATTCATTCGTGAAGTTTACGAATTTATACGTAAGGAGAAATAGATCGGCAATAAGGAAAACGAGTGACACAAAGAGGGCTGAAATAATGGCATTCGTAGGTATTTTTTATCTGTTAGAAAGCGAAAGGATGGCCAAAATTAAATCTTTGGGAACTTACTTTATAGTATTCACTGTAGGAAAATAAGATACTTGCGTGTAAAGAAGCATAATCAATGAAAATCAAGGTGGCGTTGTGGCGTTAAATCTGAGTTTCGATATGCGTGTTCCTTTTTGAATCCAAATTATGAGTCCCTTTTTTCATTTTCCAATTATTTATTTCACGAATAACAACACGACACATAGACATTTAAGAACACGCATTTCACACAGCTGAACATTTAGTATAATCACGTTTTAAATCGGCAGATTTACCGATTCCATTCGTAGGACCTCAGTCGTCCATTGTTTTTTCGAGGCTGATTGAATTCCCCATCGGATAGGGAAGGTGCATGTTAATAATTTCCTTTTTTAGGGAATACTGTGGCTCAAGTTGCCACAGGCGTACTGAGTGCGCCACCCGTGCCTTATTGTTATGGGTAAGTAGCCGTGCCTCTAAGGGTTAAAATCCTTGCAGGCGGGTGATCCTTGAGAAATTCCACTGCCGGATACTTTTTATTTTGATTTTATCCTTTTGTAGCTTTGTTAATTTTGTTAGATAGTTATTTTTGTTGAATCAGTTGGACATGTCTTTTTCAATCTGCCTCTATAGTATAAGTGATACGCGAAATTGCAGCCAGGATGGCAGAGTGGTCATGGCATCAGAGCCATAAACCTCACTGGTGTCTCTCTCACATCCCCAACAAAACGGAAACTGTAGCAAGTGTATATAGATTATTGTAAATAACAGATGAATTGATATGTAGATAGTGTGTATATGTAGTAATGTAAAATGATTGGTATGCCACCGATACTGGCACCTCTGATTCGCAGTGTGCGACGAAGTTTCGAATCCCTCTCCTGGCAACGCCGTTTCTCAAGCACTTTTAATTAACTGTAATTATTTTAAACGTTGTTATGTAAACAATTAATTACATATTTCAAGTTTCATATCTCAAATAATTTAAAACAAATCTAGAAAATTATCAATTACTGAAAGTTTACTGATTCTAATACTTTAATACAATAATTTTTCAATTTTTACAATTAAAAATTTCACATTTAAACTTTACTTTTTAATAAATAATGGATCAATAAATCGCCATGCAAATAATGGCAGCTATTCGGTTATTGATAATCCCCGTCTGACAGTGGTCAACTTTTCAGATGTTAATTGTGTAGGGTAATTTGTTAGCGTGTGACCTTATTTAAAATTTCTTAATCGAGAATACCACGACTGATGATGTTTATCGAAACTTGCAACAGGAATGCGTTAGGCCACGCATTCAGAAGATATTTTCGAATAAAGAATGGTAATTCCAGCAAGATGGAGCACCTCTTCATTAACATTGCGACGTGAGGTCCAATCTTGATTCATTTCTGGTTAACAAATGGCAAGGACGAAGATGTAGCACTAAATCCACCACCACTACATGCACACACTCACCGGACCACAGCGATGATTTTATTTCATTATTGTTTTTTATAGGCATACAAGAAACACAACTTTCAGTGCTGAGGTCCAGCTACAATCAAGGAGTTGCGAGCATCTATTGAGAGAGAATGCATTCAAATACTAATATTTAAACTTAGCGACTTTCACAATTACATTGGTTGATCTTATGAACAGCGCCTATAAGAGACTAAAAACTGATTTTGAGTAAATTAATTTGAATGATGAAACTATAATGTTGGTTATTGACTGAGCAAGAATTATGCGACATCTTGTAGGTATATGATCTTACTATAAATAAAAGTCATTGTGGGTATATGTGTATGTATGTGTGTATGTTCCACATCTCCTCCTAAACTATTGCAGCAATTTCAACCAAACTTTGCACACTTATTGTTTAAGACAAGAGGAAGATTATTGTCAACTTTTCGAAGTTCTAAAGTTAATTAAAAAGCCAGTTAAATAGAAATTAACCGAAACCGTTTTTCGGAATAACTTCGGAGCAAATTATCCCTCCCCAAAATATTTTTATACCATCTTAAAGTTCAAAATTTTGCCTTTTCAATGATACCAATTTTATATCTGTGAAATGTTCCCTTCGCTTTTATTAATTTTTCAAAATTTAATAAATAAATTATTACAGCAAAAGATTTTTAAATAAAGCAAATTTAACGATATTTCGTTGCTAGGCAAAGGTGAGACTTTCAATAAATTTCTTTTTATTTCTGTAAGTATTTTTAAAAGAAGTGAAAAGATCACTGTCAACTCTAAAAGGCCCAAAAGTTAATTAACTTTTAAGTAGATTCCTTATAGGAACTCTACCTATCGTAATGGTTCTCATGACACGACTTCCGGAAAATTTCTCTAGATCTTCACCGACAATGACGCCTAGAACTCAAAACCACCCTTCGTTCAAAAGTTATATATATATATAGTTAGATTATATACTAATACGTTAATGCTAGTTAAATTATTTGTACTGTGGAAAAGACAACCCAAAATTGGAATTCCAACATATATATATATATAAACGCTTTGCCCATGTTATCTTGTGGACACGATAACTGGAGTAATTTTGATTTGATTTTAACCAGCATAGGATATGTTGTAAGATTGTGAAAATCTGGGTCGAGTTCGTAGATGGGCTATCCAGCTGAAAAGGGGTGGAGATGGTGGGGGATTGAAATTATAATTTCCCCATAATTCCTTTACAATTCAAAATAGAAAGAAAATTTAAACTAGGAGAGTTATTGCCTTGTCATAACGAATAATTTTTGCGTTTAAACTTTTTCGAAAGCTGCAATTGCTTGGAAGTTATGAGCTGAAAAGTGATTTTCCCTCCCTTCCCCTTCTCTCCCCTATCTTAAATTATCTTTCAACCCATGCATGTTACCCCTTGTTGGAAAGCTCTTGTCATTTGCCGTCTCTGTTACCCTCTTCCATTCCTGCAGCTCTAATTCTTAAGAAAATAGAGGGCGAAATGTTCTTTTCCTCATATCTCCATATTAAAGTAATCTGCATTTGCTTTCCGGCTTGCCGATGGGGATATTTTTTAAATTAAAAATTAAGCAAGATTTTGCGTTGTTTTTTTGTGATATATTTCGAAAGTGTTATGTTACAATAACTATTTTTATACTATATTAAAGTTTAAAAAATAGCTTTTCAGTGACACAAATTTCATTTGCGTTCAAAATTGTTGCTCTCATTTCAATAATTTAAAAAAAATCAATTGTGTATGAAATTCACAATTTGTAGCAATGTATTTTTTATTGTTAAAGAACAAGAATACATATGAGGAGCTGTTGCCTAAGAACACATAAACAAAATTCTAGAAGAATACAATAGAAAAATTTAAAAGCAAGAGATTCTTTATTTATATCGGGAACAACTATTGATCTGGTTTATTTTGACGCTTTTTATTAATGAAAATTTAACTATTTATTTAATTGACGTAAAACATTCGTCAACTTCCTTTTTATACTTCACTATTTATGAACGAAATTTGAAGTAAAAACGTTTCAGTCGATACAGGAATTTTTGTATTATAATTTTCTACACAAAAATAGCTTTTTCATTAAAAATATTAGACATAAAAGTGTTTTAATCCCGAGCAACGCCGGACATAACAGCTAGTAAGTAAATAAAATAGATGAATGAACCTTAAATTATTAATAAATAAAGAGATATTTGATTTAATTCATTTATTTGCTAAATTTTAATGAAAATATATCTGGAATTTGCTTGATGTCTCTTTATTCTGTTTGTACACTATTGCTGAAAACGATTTTCCTAAAATAACGCGATTCGTGGTTTAAGAAAACATGGTATAGAAAATAAATATCGAGAAAATAATTATTCGTTTCAAAGACATTCAGTTACGAAACATAAATTGAAGTAGGATTCGAATTGCATATTATTTAAAAATTAATTACAAAACAGAAGCCAACGCGTTTTTAATGAAAAGACAAAAGTTCAGTGAACTTTGGAATGTTAATGCTACTTGCTTCAATAAGAGTTAAACAGAATTCCATTTTTGATGTTTGATTGCAAGCTATTAATAATAAATAATATCCGCTTCGTTATGAACAGATATTAAGAATACAGTTTAAGAAAATGGGTTGCCATGGTTACGAAAAGGTCAAGAACTTCTATTTATGTAATTGTCAGAGATTATTCTTTTGTATCCATTTTAATGGAGTCCAGCTATATTAAAATTAATTCTTGTCATCGGAGTTAATTCCTCACTGTAATGCATATCTTAAATTGTTTTACTATAGAAGGTCGCATTTATTTTGAATCTGAAACAAACAACATTTATTCGTTTCTGCTGACTCCAATGTATGTGTAAGAATGCAATCTTAGTACGCATTAGCTTAATGAGAGACACAATGCGTTGCGCATCGTTAAGCTAGAATATTACTGAATTTAAAGTGTGCAAACTACTCTAGTTGATATGGGATTTAAAATCATATAATAGTTGTAAACCGAGGGTAAGTATATAAGCTGGTTATAATATTAATTCCACAAAACTTGCGACTTAGACGTATTTAAATAACAAGCGTGGATTGTTATTAGTTTAAATTTATTCTTTTATAAGAATTAAAAGGAGGAATAATACGAAGCACTTGCCAATTTTAAATTAATGTTAGTCTGATGGTTGAGAAGAGAGTTTTACAAGGTTAAGCATGGAGTGACAGAGCGCCTGTTCCGGGATCCTGACTTAAGGACGAACGAACTTGGAGATTTCCATGTGAAAAAATTTCGCGACCTTGGCGGCAAATAGATGATTCCAGAAATACAACCCTTTCTCGATATTTCTATTAGGAAAGGGAAAACACGAGAAACTCCATGTGACGTCACGGCCTGTCGGAGAGAGTATAAAGACGGCGCTGGATCAGAGAGGCAGTGTTATCCATTGGGACCAAAGACTTGAGAGCTTGTCCACAGTGCGAGCTAGGAAGCTGGTGAGCTGGAGCGGTTATTGTCGTTACTTGGTTATTTGCTGATCATTTGTGTTGTTAAATATCAAAGTGCTGAACTGTTATTACCTGTGAATTGTTGTCTGTTTACATTGGTAATCTGCGCGAGAACTATTTTTGTTTCCTTGTACCTTGTGTTACGCGTTTTCCCTGCATATTTGTAAATAAACTGTCATTCTCTTAATATCCTGCGTGTTGACTGTTTACACCATACATCCACGGAAAGATTCTTGCAACAATAATTTGTTGTCGAATTAGTTTGCATGGCAAATCATGTATAATCTCATAACTACTGCTGTCCGTAAAAATATCTGAAATTATTATTTTTAACGTATATGATCCATTTCTTAGTCCTGTTCCATTCTTCCTATAAATCAAAAGAATATCTTTATATCTTCAATGCAAAAATGTTTCTTTTATTATTGATCCTGAGTAATCACCACCTTCTATTCAAGGTTTGCCTTCTTCCATACTCTTTGGCTTACTCATAGAAAGACTCTTCCTGAATTACTCGACACCTCCTCAGATTTTCATTGCATTCCAAAACCTTATAATGCAATCACCCCTGACCTGCCGTGCGGTGCATCTTGATTGACAGTCACTGCGACAGCTGAGGCCAGTCCTAATGGCCACGAGTCGACTCCTCTCCTGCTGGAGGCACGCACTATCACTCCTGGCCACGGCCCCACCTTCCTGCTGAGGCACGCACTATCACCGGCAGTGGGCAAGCCTAAGCCATTATTGTACCCAACAGGGAAGCGAGATCCCTCTTAATTATCCGGCAGCTTCTCAACCACATACTAGTGGTGGCCTCCAGTGGGACTCCAAACTCTTATATGTCTGACTATTACCGGGCTTCTGTGGTATCAGGAAGGTCTAGACCCCCCCGGAAGTAGATGGCCCAGATCTGAGACCCAATCCACATGAGATCCAAT